GTGTGTGTGTGTGTGTGTGTGTGAAGTACAGGGTAGGGGTAGCAGTGATTGAGGGGTGCAGTGTGTGTGCGTGCGTGTGTGTGTGTGTGTGCGCGTGTGTGTGTGAAGTACAGGGTAGGGGTAGCAGTGATGAGGGGTGCAGTGGGGACCGAGGTCTAGGGTGCACATGGATTTCCCCCGGCCTCCTTAGTCGGGAGAGAGCAGATCCTATCCTACCGCTCCCTAGAGCTATGTTGTCTTTCCTTTTTGCTGGACACTTTGTCTGTCTGTTGCTTGTGGGGGCTGGGGTGTAACTCTGGTACAGTACCTGCCTCACCATGTGAGAGCCCCTACTTACAACCCCAGAGCTTTTGGAGTTCCTGTGACTGTAAATAAAAGTGCACCGTTCGAGTGGGTGTGGTAGACAACTAATTCCTCAGCACTTGGGAAGCTCAGACAGTGTTCGAGTTTAAGGATATCATGGGCTAAAGAGTCAGAGTCTTGCCCCTGAGTGCCACCCCCACCCCCAAAAGTACACACCCAGTGCCATTCAGCACATTCCATTGTGCAGCCCCACCTCTGTGTCCGTACACCTTGGCATCACTCACAAAGAGCATCTCCCCCTGCTGCCGCCCCCTCACCCCGCCCCGCAGGGGGCACCAGCAGGCTGCTGTCTGCCCTGGGCTGGTCCTGGCCACTCTCAGCTTGGAAGTCTGGCTTCTTTCACCCAGCCAGCCTCTTTGTACACTTAACATAGCTTTTATCCTGCTTTTGATTTTGAAATAATTCTAGAGGCTCAGGGAGTTGCAGAAACCGCATCTAGAATGGCCTCTGGCCCACTGGGAGAAGACGGCTGTGGGGACCTGGGGCCTGGGCTGGACGAGGCAGGCCCTTGACTCACCTGGTTCAGGCACTCCTGTCCTTGTCACAGGCTTGGGAACCGCTGTTCAGTGTGGCCCCTCTCCATGCTGCTTTCCTGCCACCCACTTGCAGCCAGTTGGTGCACAGGGCTCCTGGCCTTGTTGCAGAGTCCAGCTGGGGGAGAGTAGGGTTTCAGCCCTCCCCGGCGGCTGGCCCAGTAGGGAGAGGGGCTGGTTGTATTTTAAGCTATTGAGTGGTTCAGCAGGAACTCCGTGGCCTTCTCTCCCAGTGGACATTGTGCTGCCTTCCTGGGATTCACATGGACTCTGAGCATGTGCACAGTGCTCATGGGGTCCAGCAACTATTAATACATCTGCAGCCCAGAGCCCTGCCGCTTAGCCCCTTCTAGCACACTCCTCAAGTACTCATTCCCTCTCGATTCTCTTTAGTGGGGTCCAATGTATGACTCTTGGTCTGGTATTGCTCTTGTGGGGTTCCGTCACCTGCCCCTCAGGCCACAGGGTAAGGCAGAGTTTGCAGCTGATAGCAGGTGATCTCTGTGCACTCTCCTGTGCTGTGTCCAGGGTGTAGGCTCTGGCATCGATGAGCAAGCCGGCTAGGGTGCCACTGGCCGGCATAGGAGCCTTGCTCTCCATTCAGGCCCTGGCCCTGCAGGGCTGCCTCACTGTGTAGGGTCACCTTCGTGGGGCCTCCCACCACATACATGCACACACACATGCACATACTTCCCTCTGCCAGCTTCATGTGGGTCCAGGCACATCCACTCAGGGACCCCTAGCAGGCCAGGCTAAAGGACGGGCCCTAGGACTCTGCTGTTGGGAGCGTGCAGGTGGCAGTGGGCAGCTTCTCTGTCCCGTGATGCCCCCTCCTTCAGGATGAGAAGTCGTGGATCCCCATAGGGCCCTCAGGCCTCTTCCAGCCAGCGTGGGCAGTGCCCAGCACCATGCCAGCCAGCAGCCTCCTCTGACCTTCTGGGGCAGATGGCTCAGATCCCCTGGGTCTGTGTCCTTACTCTGTTCCTGTGTACCACTGTCTAGCTCTAGTCTGGGGGTTTCTCCTTTGGGGGCTGTGGACCCCAGGGGTACAGGCAGGCCGCCTGGGTTTTGTGTTGAAGGCTTTGGAGCAAGACTCATTCATGGGTGAGCACATTGATGTTAGCCTGATTTGGTAGACTGCCGTGTGTAGGTGGTTTTGAACCAGGTGTGGGTGGAACCGGTGAAAAGTGAGGTGGGTGGAGAGAGGGGTGGAGGGCTTTGCTCACTCTTTCCTCTCCATACTTAGGATGGGTATGCTTCACCAACAACTCCGGAATTTGTCACCTCCCTGGGAACACAAATGCACAAGGGAAATAATCCAGTGTCTCTTACAGCTTAGAAGTGGAAATGGAAGCTCTGTCTCACAGATTCTCCAGATAGCTGGCATTTCCCCAGGCCCAGTAACCTGTCCTCCAGAGCTGGGCGCTGGCGCTGGGGCTGGGGCTGGGCTAGCCACCCCCTGCCACTGCCTGGGGTGATCTTCCTTCTCTAGGAGATCTTCCTGCCCCTGGCACTTTTGAGGACCTGTGTCCACCCAACTGCCTCTATGAGGAGAGCCCCCAGGGGAGGACTGTGGTGTGGCTCCTTTGGGGGACTCGGCTGGGATGGTTTTATATTTAGCCGGGCCTGGCCCTGGTGCCACTCAGGTTACATTGGCATTGAAGCTGGCTGGGCCTGGTCAGACACAGGCTTCCTTCCAGCACCGCGGCAGAATTTGATCATGCTGCCCAGCCCAGCTCAGAGCAGCTTTTGTGAGGGGAGGTCGGAGGTGTGGGGGCTGGCGGCTGGCAGTGGGCATCACAGCCTGGTAGGCAGAGCAGAGGCCGGCAGTGGCATGGATATCAGCTTGAGCATGGCGGCCCAGGAGGCCCACCAAGGCCTCGATGCTCTTCCCATGCCCATGCCCCACAAGGTAGCCAAGAAGCATAAAAAGGCGGTTCTCTTCTTTGAGGTGGAGATTCTGGATGCGAAGACAAGGGAGAAGCTGTGCTTCCTGGACAAGGTAGGACTGTGACCCTGGTGGTGAGGCGCCAAGAGCTGTAGGGCTGTGCAGACAGGGGCAGCCCCTTGTCCTTCAGAGGGCACACAAGGGGTGTCGCCTTCATCGACAGCTGCAGTTCTCAACCTGTGGGGCGCGACCCTGCATACCAGACATTTACCTTAAGATTCATAACAGTAGCAAAATTACAGTTACGAAGTAATAACGAATTAACTTTATGGCTGGGGTCACCACAACGCGAGGAACGGTATTAAAGGGTCACAGCATAGGAAGGTTGAGGACCACTGAGCTAGAGTGAGCAGCCATGGCCCTGCATGGGGCTGGAAGCTGGCTGCCTGGTAGGGAACGGACAAGGTGCCTGGAAGGGCCCTGTGTCTGTGAAGGAGGTGGAAGCTGACGATATACCCACTGAAGCCAGCCGGCTTGATCCTGACCAGCCTGTTCCTGGCACCCCTGCCCCAGATCCTGGGTTTAGGCTCCTGTGGGGCTGATTCTGTTTTCTCTTAGGTGGAGCCTCAGGCCACCATTGCTGAAATCAAGAACCTCTTCACCAAGACACGTGAGTCCAGGCACCTACACTTCTGTCCCCATTCCTGTCACCCTTCTGATGGAACCCGGGCTTCCTTAGGGGCTTGTAGAGGCGGCCTGTCAGCACACTGGAGTGTAGCCGGGCCGTCGGACTGCGCAGGCTGCCCCCGTGTGGCCACCAGCAGGAATGCTCTTGTGTTATCCAAAGGACAAAATCCTCTTGCTGTTTGGCCCTGTGTCCTTGCACAGGGTGGGAGGAGCCGGGGGTCCCAGAGTTAGGGTGGGCAGACTGAACCCAGCCAGACTGGGTATTGCAACCCCTCACCTTCTCCTAGCAGACCCGCAATGGTACCCTGCCCGACAGTCCCTCCGCCTGGACCCCAGTGAGTACAGCTGTCCACCAGCCTTTCCCTTGGGCTCCTGGGGTCCAGACACCAGGGCAGCCCCTGAACACTGACTCATTTCTGTAGAGGGAAAGTCGCTGAAAGATGAAGATGTCTTGCAGAAGCTTCCTGTGGGCACCACAGCCACACTCTTCTTCCGGGACCTGGGAGCCCAGATCAGCTGGGTGACGGTGAGCTCTGACCCCTTCCCTGGTCTCTGCCTTCAGCCACCCTGGGTGGCTCCTCACCTTGTCTCTGGGCATCCCCAGGTCTTCCTGACTGAGTACGCTGGGCCCCTTTTCATCTACTTGCTCTTCTACTTCCGGGTGCCCTTCATTTATGGCCACAAATATGACTTCACATCCAGTCGGCACACGGTGGTGCAGTGAGTGGGGTCCGCAAGAGGGGGGAGAGGGGAAGGGGAGGGTGGCCCCAGCCCCAGCTGAGTCCGCTATCCCCACTAGCCTTGCCTGCATCTGCCACTCATTCCACTACGTCAAGCGGCTGCTGGAGACGCTCTTCGTGCACCGCTTCTCTCACGGAACCATGCCCCTGAGAAACATCTTCAAAGTGAGCACCTTACTCTGCTCTGCCCACCAGCAGCACCTGCCCACCCTAGGCTAACACATCTGCTCTCTTTCAGAACTGCACCTACTATTGGGGCTTTGCTGCATGGATGGCCTATTACATCAACCACCCTCTCTACACACCCCCTAGTAAGTGGTCTCAGACAGTGCCCTCACCCCGCGACCCCATCATGAACCTTCCTCTTATGGGGCTCTCCCTTTTCTGCAGCCTACGGAGCCCAGCAGGTTAAGTTGGCGCTGACCATCTTTGTGGTAAAGAGGCTGGGATGGCAACCACGTGTGGTGAGGTGAGGTAGCTGGGTGGGTGAGGCCAGGGGCTCTAGACTGACCCTGTTCTCTTCGATAGATCTGCCAGCTTGGCAACTTCTCCATCCACATGGCTCTTCGGGACCTTCGGCCAGCTGGTGAGTGGCCTGCTGGGGCTGGGTGAGCTGGTAAGGAAGGAAGGGGTCTGACTGACTCTCGTCCTGCACACCAGGGTCCAAGACCAGGAAGATCCCATACCCCACCAAGAACCCCTTCACCTGGCTATTCCTGCTGGTGTCCTGTCCCAACTACACTTACGAGGTGAGGGCCTGCCTTCTTCCTCCCAGGTTTGAGTCCTCCATGAGGTAAAGGGTGGGTCGTGGGGGAGTAAGACAGCCTGGATTTGGGGAGACTGCTGCCTCCGTCCCCAGGGATACGTGTGACCTGGGCTTGCCTCTGCCCTCACCCTGCTGTGCTCTCCACAGGTCGGGTCCTGGATTGGCTTTGCCATCATGACGCAGTGTGTTCCAGGTGAGTCCTTGTTCCTGTGCCGTGAGTTCCTGGCTCCCTTCCGGCTGGCTGGGCGTCCCTATTCTGATACCCCATTCTGCCCGCAGTGGCCCTCTTCTCCTTGGTGGGCTTCACCCAGATGACTATCTGGGCCAAAGGCAAGCATCGCAGCTACCTGAAGGAGTTCCGTGACTACCCACCCCTGCGCATGCCCATTATCCCCTTCCTGCTCTGAGCAGTTCCTCGTGGGCTCAGCCTGGTAGCACTGTCTACCCACTCCCCCTGACCTGGGGTGACCGTGGCTCTCCAGCAGCAACAATAAACCTGCTTTTCCAGCTGGACTCGGGCTTTGTGTGTTCTTTAGGGGTACAGGGGGCACACTGTTCCTCCCACCCTTGAGGCAGTACACACGAGGGTTAGGCAGGTGACCCAAAGCTTTTATTTCACTGTAGGTCCAGAGGCAGGTGGGTTACCCCTAGAGGGCCATCTCAGGGCCCACCTCTCCTTCTCCCTGGCCTTGGGCTATCCGCTGCGCCTTCTCTTCCCTCCGCTTCTTCCTCTGGAGCAGTCGCCGTTCACGTTCAAACTCCTTCATTCGCTTCACATAGCTGAGGGCAGAACAGAGAGGGTCTCAGTGCCACAGGCCCTGGCCCGGCTCCATTCCCAGCCACCAGGAAACCCTCCCCCCCCCCAGCTGAATTCTGGCCTGCCCCTCAGGTGGCTCCAGCCCCTCGCCCCTCCCTGTGGGGTGCCCGCAGGGGCAGGGGCAGGGGCAGGGGCAGGGCAGGGCAGGGCAGGGGCAGGGCAGGGCAGGGCA